GCAGGCTCCAAGCTGAGTTGTCAGCACAGAGCCCGACGCGGGGCTCGAACCCACAGACTGTAAGATCATGACCTGAGCCGAAGTCGGACGCTTAACCGACTGAGCCACCCAGGTGCCCCCTTTTTTTTTTTTTTAAGATACTTATTTTTGAGAGAAAGAGCATGAGCAGGGGAGGGGCAGAGAGAGGGAGACAGAGAATCCAAAGCAGGCTCTGCATTGTCATCACAGAGCCCAATGCAGAGATGATGACCTGAGCCGAAGTTGGACGCGCCACCCAGGCACCACTGGGTTTATTATTTTGAAAGTGGACTTGAGGACCCGTACCGTAGTGTGCTAACATGGTGGCTGGCGATAGCTGTAACCCCCACACAAATACCCTTCAGGGTCCTCAGTGTGAGAGTGGCCCTGAGATCAGCTTTGAGAATGGATGTGGATGCTGTGTCGTCCCTGTCCTGTGGGCATCTGGGCTGAGGCACCTCCCAGGGCTCCATTTGCTCCACGTGGCTCTCAACTTCCATTCCTTCTCTTGAGGGGAAGGTGAGCCATCGTCTGCGGTGGTTCAGTGCAAGCCTGGTGTCTCCTTGTCGCAGGCTTCCAGGCCTTTGAGATCCAGCTGGTGCTGAGGCAGGCCCTCCCTGACATCTGGACGGTCCTGAGAGACCAGGGGGTGAGTTCACACCTGGGGGTGGGCGGCCTCCGTGGAAGGCTTTCTCTTGCCCTTCCCCCTCTCCTTTTGAGATTGTGGCTACGTCCCGAAGAACCCAGGGTTCAGAGAACTTGTCTCTACTTTTGTCTCAGATAATAGTGAAAAAAGTGAGTAAGCAGCATCGCTGGTATCTTGAGAACACCTCCTGTGATCGAGAGAGCTGTTGGAAGGAGAAGATTCTTCTCTCTGCGAGGGGTTTTTCTGTGTTTTTCCAGATGCTGGTGAAAGCCCAGAAGGTAGGGGAGAAAACCTCTTCTCGGCATCCAGCAGTCTTTTGTATTTCTGACCGTAGAAATACGCTGGGTCCTCTGACAAAAGGCAGCTGCCTTGAGATCGAAGTGGTTTGTTTTCTTGCTGATAACCGGCTTTATGGATCTCACCTGCTTCCCCGAACTGTGATGGGTTAAGCGGGGACAGAGGGTCCGTATAAAACACTGTGGTTCCTGTCCCCATGTCACGACTCGCTGACCTGGAACCGCTTGGGGAACTGCTTCAGTTTAGCCCCTCGGTGTGGACTCTGCCCCACATCCCTCCCCGACGCTGCTTGTCGTGTTTCTGGCATTTGAGCATCGGGGCCACTTTTCATGGCGGGGGTGGGGGGGACACCGGGTGGCAGGACCGCAGCGGGCTCTGAAGCTGCCCCCTTGCGGGAGAGTGTTGACCTGGGAACGTCTGTTTCTAAACCTCCTCTCTGCTGCCTGTTGATTCCTCCAAGTAGCCCTTAGTGGGCCACAACATGATGATGGACTTGCTGCATCTGCACGAGAAGTTCTTCCGGCCGCTCCCAGGTATGGGCACGCCCCCCTTCCAGTCTTCACCTCCGGGGGGAGGGTTTGGGCCACAGTCCCGCCCCAGAGTAGCCCCTCCACGTACCCTTCCCCGGGACCCGCAGGCCTCCAGAGAAGTCTGGCAGATCTGTGCCTGTTCCCGTTTCCCCGAGTGGAAGCCAGGTGGCTTTCCCGCAGAAAGACTCACATTTGGGTTGATACTCCCCTCCCCCCCCTCCAATGGCACTTGTCATTTACCATTGCGTGAAACCTCACAGAATCAGAAATGTGAGCAGGAGAGAAGCTGCCGTCGATCTCAGTTACGATCCTAACACTTTGACTTTTTTCCCTCTGGGACTTCACACATATTTGATCACACTACGTATTTGACTTCATGTTTGGCTTTTTTCCCCACTTACCCGAAGCATTTATGCCGTTAACCTAACGTCATTCCAATGGCTGTATGGCCTTGACTTGCGGCTGTGCCATCCTTTTCCGTGACTGATGCCCTCATTGGATGTACGACAGTGTAACGTGTCTGTTGAAAGCTGTGACTGGAGAGACCTGCTAGCGCCACCCCCCCCCCCCCCCCAGTGCGTGTTCGCTCCAGCAACATGCTTTCTCGGTTTCCCTGCCTATAAGATGTGGGTAACAATAGTACTGACACCCTAGTACTGGGGGGTTAAATAGCGCACGTTATCTAGATTAGAAGGGTGGGAGGGTTCTAAGGTTCCCCCGGAAATGATAAAGCACCTCAGTTTGAGCACAGAGGATTGAGAGAGGAGTAGGGGTAAAATTAATAAGCACTGACCAGAAAAACAAAGACGACAAAACAGAATTGCTGGGAGAACAGAAGCTGGGTGAGAAAGGAGAGATTGGAGACCACAGCCTGGACCCTGTGAAAGTGGGAGGGGGGAGTGGGCAGGGCCAGGGATGAGACTCTCACCTGGTGGGCAGTCAGGTGGCTGTTACAACACTGGGGAAGTTCCAGCAGCACAGTGTCTTTTTTTTTTTTTTTCAATGTTTGTTTATTTTTGAGAGAGACACAACGCGAGCAGGGGAGGGTCAGAGAGAGGGAGACACAGAATCTGAAGCAGGCTCCAGGCTCTGAGTTTGCTGTCAGCACAGAGCCCGATGCGGGGCTCGAACCCCATGAACGATGAGATCATGACCAGACGCTTAACTGACTGAACCACCCAGGCGCCCCTCGTCTTTTGAGAGACCTGGGCACCAACACCCAGGGAAAGAATGGAAAGTGCTTGCCTGGGGAGCGGGAAGAGGAGAGCGGGCTTGGCTTTGGTTTATTTTTGCAATAAATCTCTTTAAATTCTATACAGAGTTATATTTTGATAAATGTACCAATTGATAGCTTGATTTTCTTTTTTCCTTTTTTTTTTTTTTTTATTTCTAGGAGAGAGAGACAGAATGAGCAGGGGAGGGTCAGAGAGAGAGGGAGTCACAGACTGAAACAGGCTCCAGGCTCTGAGCTGTCAGTCAGCTCAGAGTCCGACACGGGGCTTGAACCCACGAACCGCGAGATCATGACCTAAGCGAAAGTCGGACGCTTAACCGACTAAGCCACCCAGGTGCCCCTCTTTTTTCCTTTTTGAAGAAAATCTGGGCATTTAAAATTTTTAGTTGATTTTTTTTCTCAGATTTTCTCTGAACAGCCCCTTACAGACGACCATTTCATACCCGCTTTTCAATAACATTTCTTTTTCCCTGTGTCCACTGGCTAGAACTTTGCAAACTACATTAACTAATATCGACAGTAGACCATATCCTGAATTTAATGGAAAACCATCTGGCTTTCACCACCATGAAAGGTGGTGGCAGGTTGGTTTGAGATTTACAAATCCTCCGTGATTAGGAGGAAGGATATTTTAATTCCAGTTTTGTCCTGTTTTGCTTGCCTTGTTTGTTAATTAGCATTGGCGACAAGCTAGGTTGGAGAATCTTCCTTCCCATTTTTAATCTACAAACTCCCTTCTATCTGGTGTTTTTGCCTCAGAAAGCTATGATCAATTTAAGCTGAATATCCACAACCTATTTCCTGTTCTCATTGACACCAAGAATGTGACGAAGGACATCTGGAAGGTAATGAATGGGTTTGCTTTGTCCCGGTCACACTTTACTTCTCTTTCAAGTATGTTTACTCAGAGCGTGCGCTCGTCAGAGTGCAAGCCGGAAAGCAAAGCGCAGAGAGAGCGGGAGAGACAGAATCCCAAGTAGGCTCCGCACTGTCAGCACACAGCCCAACGCGGGGCTTGAACCCACAAACTGAGATCATGAGCTCAGCCAAAGTCAGACCCTTAACTGACTGAGCCACGCAGGTGCCCCCACTCTGTCTTTTTCTTGAATGGTTCCTTGAACCTTTCTCTCCTGTTTTACAACCAGTATTGGCTTCCTTTGTGTAGCATCGGATTATCCTCTTCGCTTATGAGTTTTTTCCTTCCCTCATTCAAGTTCCCATATTTTGACGGAGTTGTATGTAGCTTGTCTGATCTGAGGCACGCCACAGAACAGTCTGTTCTAGAGCTTGATCTATGCATGATGAGTATCAGCAGCCTGCTCAACAGGGTGGGGGAGGCTCTGGGAAATGTTAACCATCTGTGCTGAGCAGTAAGGTCCTGGGTTCCCACCCTGGGCATATCACCATCACCTGGGAAGCCAAATCCCCACATCCGGGCCCCACCACCAGCATCCTATGGTTTAGAGGGCTGGGGGCAGGGTGGTGTGTCCAGAGCTCCCAGGCGGCTTCTGTCGTGCAGTCTGGGTATGAGTTGCACATGGAGAAGGGAGGCACCCCACTGGCCTAAATGTTGCCTAGAACTTAAACTGAGGGGCAGAGCAAGGGGAGTCAGGTCAGCACTTTAAAGCCCGAGGCCGGTCACCTAACTAGTCCGTGGGGGAGCTACAAAAAAGGCGCTGGGTTACTTGGCACCCCTTTGCCCAGAGCCGCGTTTGTCATTTGTACCTCCCTGGTTTCTAGCTCTTTCACACGTGTCTCCCTGTGACAGCCCTGGGTGAAGCAGGAAGGGTGTGGGCTTACTGGAGGGGACCCGTATGTTCTCCTTGCCACATAAGCAGAGCGGAGCTTGGGGTGACCTGGGATTGCCCAAGGCTCTCTGGTTCTTAGAGTGCCCGGTGTCCACATGTGTGTCCTTGGCCATGGTCTAGTGGCTTGGAGGCGTACGTTTATAGAATCCCTGAAACCCGTGCCTTTGTAGGAAGGTGGTGGGAGTTATTGCAGTTTTTCTAGCCTAGGTTATAGGGTACCTTCTAGAAAATCCAAGGATGCTAGGGCCCTAATCAAGGGATGAAGACCCTTCTGTTTGAATAGAAAGAGGGGTTTATGGGAATTACTTTCCAGGTCCTTTCCATGGCCCTTTCCAAGGGTAGTCCCCAGATGGATAACAAAAGCACAAGTTTTATTCTCCCTGACTTGTTTTCCATAATTCTAGGAACTGAATTTCCCAAGGGTTTCAAATCTTTCGGAAGTCTATGAAGTCCTAAATAGGTAAGGAGGGCATTTTTTGTTTGTTTTGTTTTGTAGCTGTTCATAGAGCAGGGGATACTTGATGGGGGCGGGGGGGATTTTACTCCCCAGGACACATCTTTTTAGTTGTTACAACAGGGGGAGGGGGAGGTTGTACTGGCATCTGGCGGGTAGACGTGGGGATGTGCCGGACCACCCCCCACGGCAAAGAACTCCCCAGGCCCACGTGCTCCTGGGGCTGAGGCTGAGCCCTGTCTAGAGGGGCAGGAAGCAGGTAAAATACCTGCGGCTGTTGAAGTGTGTGGTGGTTTCTGGTGGCCAGGGTTTAACTTGTTTCCATCTCTTTCCAAATGGAGTGAGAAGCCCCAGCAGAACAGGCTTTTCCTTCCTTCCTCACCCTGATGCCCTGACGTTTCTGGGGGGCCTGCAGCGGTGCGGGTGGGCGCGCCCCCGACACTGGAGAGAGTGAATGGCCAGGCCCGACCTGCAGCCGCGGTGGCTCCCACTTCCCCTCACAGCCCTGACCCCTGTGGCCTGGGAGCCTGCTGGGGGGACGCACCAGCGTGGGGGGGCTGCTCTGCTTCCCCCTTGGAGGTCTACGCTCCGATCTGCCCTTCTCTGCATTCCCAGGATCACCGCCTTTGCCCCAGTCTTTTCTTTCATGTTTATTTTCTTTTTAAAAAAAATTTTTAACGTTTATTTTTGAGAGTGAGAGAGACAGAGCACGATCAAGGGAGGGGCAGAGAGAGAGGGAGACACCATCTGAAGCAGGCTGCAAGCTCTGAGCTGTCAGCACAGAGCCTGGTGCAGGGCTTGAACCCACAAACCGTGAGATCATGACCTGAGATGAAGCCCAGCACTTAACTGACTGAGCCACCCGGGTGCCCCCCAGTCTTTATTTTTTGTTCCAAGGATGGTGGCAACCCTGTGGGAACCCCATGGGAACCCCNGTCTGTTGAAAGCTGTGACTGGAGAGACCTGCTAGGGCCCCCCCCCCCCCCCCCCCGCAGTGCGTGTTCGCTCCAGCAACATGCTTTCTCGGTTTCCCTGCCTATAAGATGTGGGTAACAATAGTACTGACACCCTAGTACTGGGGGGTTAAATAGCGCACGTTATCTAGATTAGAAGGGTGGGAGGGTTCTAAGGTTCCCCCGGAAATGATAAAGCACCTCAGTTTGAGCACAGAGGATTGAGAGAGGAGTAGGGGTAAAATTAATAAGCACTGACCAGAAAAACAAAGACGACAAAACAGAATTGCTGGGAGAACAGAAGCTGGGTGAGAAAGGAGAGATTGGAGACCACAGCCTGGACCCTGTGAAAGTGGGAGGGGGGAGTGGGCAGGGCCAGGGATGAGACTCTCACCTGGTGGGCAGTCAGGTGGCTGTTACAACACTGGGGAAGTTCCAGCAGCACAGTGTCTTTTTTTTTTTTTTTCAATGTTTGTTTATTTTTGAGAGAGACACAACGCGAGCAGGGGAGGGTCAGAGAGAGGGAGACACAGAATCTGAAGCAGGCTCCAGGCTCTGAGTTTGCTGTCAGCACAGAGCCCGATGCGGGGCTCGAACCCCATGAACGATGAGATCATGACCAGACGCTTAACTGACTGAACCACCCAGGCGCCCCTCGTCTTTTGAGAGACCTGGGCACCAACACCCAGGGAAAGAATGGAAAGTGCTTGCCTGGGGAGCGGGAAGAGGAGAGCGGGCTTGGCTTTGGTTTATTTTTGCAATAAATCTCTTTAAATTCTATACAGAGTTATATTTTGATAAATGTACCAATTGATAGCTTGATTTTCTTTTTTCCTTTTTTTTTTTTTTTTATTTCTAGGAGAGAGAGACAGAATGAGCAGGGGAGGGTCAGAGAGAGAGGGAGTCACAGACTGAAACAGGCTCCAGGCTCTGAGCTGTCAGTCAGCTCAGAGTCCGACACGGGGCTTGAACCCACGAACCGCGAGATCATGACCTAAGCGAAAGTCGGACGCTTAACCGACTAAGCCACCCAGGTGCCCCTCTTTTTTCCTTTTTGAAGAAAATCTGGGCATTTAAAATTTTTAGTTGATTTTTTTTCTCAGATTTTCTCTGAACAGCCCCTTACAGACGACCATTTCATACCCGCTTTTCAATAACATTTCTTTTTCCCTGTGTCCACTGGCTAGAACTTTGCAAACTACATTAACTAATATCGACAGTAGACCATATCCTGAATTTAATGGAAAACCATCTGGCTTTCACCACCATGAAAGGTGGTGGCAGGTTGGTTTGAGATTTACAAATCCTCCGTGATTAGGAGGAAGGATATTTTAATTCCAGTTTTGTCCTGTTTTGCTTGCCTTGTTTGTTAATTAGCATTGGCGACAAGCTAGGTTGGAGAATCTTCCTTCCCATTTTTAATCTACAAACTCCCTTCTATCTGGTGTTTTTGCCTCAGAAAGCTATGATCAATTTAAGCTGAATATCCACAACCTATTTCCTGTTCTCATTGACACCAAGAATGTGACGAAGGACATCTGGAAGGTAATGAATGGGTTTGCTTTGTCCCGGTCACACTTTACTTCTCTTTCAAGTATGTTTACTCAGAGCGTGCGCTCGTCAGAGTGCAAGCCGGAAAGCAAAGCGCAGAGAGAGCGGGAGAGACAGAATCCCAAGTAGGCTCCGCACTGTCAGCACACAGCCCAACGCGGGGCTTGAACCCACAAACTGAGATCATGAGCTCAGCCAAAGTCAGACCCTTAACTGACTGAGCCACGCAGGTGCCCCCACTCTGTCTTTTTCTTGAATGGTTCCTTGAACCTTTCTCTCCTGTTTTACAACCAGTATTGGCTTCCTTTGTGTAGCATCGGATTATCCTCTTCGCTTATGAGTTTTTTCCTTCCCTCATTCAAGTTCCCATATTTTGACGGAGTTGTATGTAGCTTGTCTGATCTGAGGCACGCCACAGAACAGTCTGTTCTAGAGCTTGATCTATGCATGATGAGTATCAGCAGCCTGCTCAACAGGGTGGGGGAGGCTCTGGGAAATGTTAACCATCTGTGCTGAGCAGTAAGGTCCTGGGTTCCCACCCTGGGCATATCACCATCACCTGGGAAGCCAAATCCCCACATCCGGGCCCCACCACCAGCATCCTATGGTTTAGAGGGCTGGGGGCAGGGTGGTGTGTCCAGAGCTCCCAGGCGGCTTCTGTCGTGCAGTCTGGGTATGAGTTGCACATGGAGAAGGGAGGCACCCCACTGGCCTAAATGTTGCCTAGAACTTAAACTGAGGGGCAGAGCAAGGGGAGTCAGGTCAGCACTTTAAAGCCCGAGGCCGGTCACCTAACTAGTCCGTGGGGGAGCTACAAAAAAGGCGCTGGGTTACTTGGCACCCCTTTGCCCAGAGCCGCGTTTGTCATTTGTACCTCCCTGGTTTCTAGCTCTTTCACACGTGTCTCCCTGTGACAGCCCTGGGTGAAGCAGGAAGGGTGTGGGCTTACTGGAGGGGACCCGTATGTTCTCCTTGCCACATAAGCAGAGCGGAGCTTGGGGTGACCTGGGATTGCCCAAGGCTCTCTGGTTCTTAGAGTGCCCGGTGTCCACATGTGTGTCCTTGGCCATGGTCTAGTGGCTTGGAGGCGTACGTTTATAGAATCCCTGAAACCCGTGCCTTTGTAGGAAGGTGGTGGGAGTTATTGCAGTTTTTCTAGCCTAGGTTATAGGGTACCTTCTAGAAAATCCAAGGATGCTAGGGCCCTAATCAAGGGATGAAGACCCTTCTGTTTGAATAGAAAGAGGGGTTTATGGGAATTACTTTCCAGGTCCTTTCCATGGCCCTTTCCAAGGGTAGTCCCCAGATGGATAACAAAAGCACAAGTTTTATTCTCCCTGACTTGTTTTCCATAATTCTAGGAACTGAATTTCCCAAGGGTTTCAAATCTTTCGGAAGTCTATGAAGTCCTAAATAGGTAAGGAGGGCATTTTTTGTTTGTTTTGTTTTGTAGCTGTTCATAGAGCAGGGGATACTTGATGGGGGCGGGGGGGATTTTACTCCCCAGGACACATCTTTTTAGTTGTTACAACAGGGGGAGGGGGAGGTTGTACTGGCATCTGGCGGGTAGACGTGGGGATGTGCCGGACCACCCCCCACGGCAAAGAACTCCCCAGGCCCACGTGCTCCTGGGGCTGAGGCTGAGCCCTGTCTAGAGGGGCAGGAAGCAGGTAAAATACCTGCGGCTGTTGAAGTGTGTGGTGGTTTCTGGTGGCCAGGGTTTAACTTGTTTCCATCTCTTTCCAAATGGAGTGAGAAGCCCCAGCAGAACAGGCTTTTCCTTCCTTCCTCACCCTGATGCCCTGACGTTTCTGGGGGGCCTGCAGCGGTGCGGGTGGGCGCGCCCCCGACACTGGAGAGAGTGAATGGCCAGGCCCGACCTGCAGCCGCGGTGGCTCCCACTTCCCCTCACAGCCCTGACCCCTGTGGCCTGGGAGCCTGCTGGGGGGACGCACCAGCGTGGGGGGGCTGCTCTGCTTCCCCCTTGGAGGTCTACGCTCCGATCTGCCCTTCTCTGCATTCCCAGGATCACCGCCTTTGCCCCAGTCTTTTCTTTCATGTTTATTTTCTTTTTAAAAAAAATTTTTAACGTTTATTTTTGAGAGTGAGAGAGACAGAGCACGATCAAGGGAGGGGCAGAGAGAGAGGGAGACACCATCTGAAGCAGGCTGCAAGCTCTGAGCTGTCAGCACAGAGCCTGGTGCAGGGCTTGAACCCACAAACCGTGAGATCATGACCTGAGATGAAGCCCAGCACTTAACTGACTGAGCCACCCGGGTGCCCCCCAGTCTTTATTTTTTGTTCCAAGGATGGTGGCAACCCTGTGGGAACCCCATGGGAACCCCATGGGAACCCCGTGGCCTGTCCTACTTCATTTCCCCCTGCTGTTCAAGTGATCTTCTAGAATGTGAACTTGACTGGGCCATGTTTCTCCTCTGCCTTCCTGATGTTCCTCCAGCACCTCTGCCCCCCTGCCCCCCTGCCCCCCTGCCGACACATGAGCTCTTTCACTGGCCCCTGCCTTTCCCTCAGGGGTTCCAGCCACACACACAGGTCAGGCCTCGCTCCCTTTCCCTCACTGCCTTTGTGCCACCTCTGTGTGCGAGATGCCAGACGCCTCCCCATCCCTTCAGCCAAGCGAGTTCCTGTGACTCGGGACTCCTGGAGTGCCGCCTCCTTCAGGAAGCCTTCCGTCCCTCCTGCCCGTGGTCTCCGTAGGCTCCAGTGCCCTGTTGGTGCCTCGGGCGCTGAAGGAACAGGACCAGCTCTGTCCATGTCCTTGGGCTGCGGGCTGCACGCTTCCTGCCCAGAGCCAGTGTCGACGTTACCCAGTTCCCCGGCCCAGGCTAAGCGTGTGGACGATGCTCGGAGCCACCTGGCGGCGGCCTCCCGCTCTGCTTCTTCAGCCCTGCTGCCTGCTTCCTGAGACCCTCTCCGCCCATTCCTGGATCTGTGCCTTGTTCCTTTAAAGAAGACACCCCAGTCTTGAGGACACTTTTATTTGTATTAATTTAAGATGGTGAGGAGAGACCAAGAAGGGCTGATTTTCAGTGGCTGCTTTTTAAAATCTTTTTTAATGTTTACTTTTGAGAGGGGGACACCGAACCTGAAGCAGGCTCTAGGCTCTGAACTGTCAGCATAGAGCCCAGTGTGGGGCTCGAATCCATGAGCTGTGGGATCATGACCTGAGCTGAAAGCGAGTGCCTAACTGACTGAGCCACCCAGGTGCCCCTCAGTGACTGTGCTTTATGCTGTTTTTCTTCTGTACTAGTGACTTGAATCCTACCAAGAATTCTGGGCCAGTGATTATTCACGCAAGCAAGTGCGAAAAATACGGTATGTTCCTGTGAGCCAGAGCCGCCCCACAGTCGGCCGAGGAGTGAGGTGCCGGCGCTACGCCCTGGTCTCCCCGTGGGCCGGTGTGTGGGAGGGTCACACGGGGTGCTTCATCATTTTCCTGTGTGTGCTCCATGTGACCCACCCCCCAGAAGGCTTCACGACCCCCCGGGGGCATCTTCTCCCCTTTGACGTGTGCCTAACCTATGGGGCAGCTCTTGGCCTCCGCTTCCTGCTGTGGGGGGACCCAGGGAGACGGTGGGTGTGGTGGGGAGAAGGGCACGCCCCTCTCTGGTTGGTGGTGGTATGAGTGAGTGTGGCCCCCATGGTGTGGAGCCGGGTGGGGAAGAGGCCCCTTGTCCAGGCTGTGAACTGACCGCCGCCCAACTCTCGCCTGCCTCTGGAACACGGCTTCAGCTGAGACCAAGTACCCACACGAGGCTGCGTACGACGCTTTCCTCTGTGGCTCAGGTGAGAGTTGCTGTCGTTTCACATGGGGGCGGCTCATGCTTTCTTTGGGATGATCCCCCCACCATCCCGGGGCTCTCCATTCGTTTCCAGGTGGGTTGCATGTAACAAAGCACGACTTTGTATGCTTTGATACGGGGAGCCGGTTGAGCTTGGACGTCTGTTAGATCTCTAGCATTTTCTCCCCAGTTCTTTTGAAAGTGGCACATCTGCTCCTGTGGAGAGTACGTGGGTGAGTGCTCCTTCCCTCCTGTTACGGGGACAGGGTTCGCTGTGAGCTTAGAGCGCCAGGGCCCCGCGGCTCTCCCACAGACGGTGCACGTGGCACGTTGTGTAAACCCAGTCCCTGACGGGGATGCAGCCTTCCTCCCCAGGGTGGCCTTTCCGGCTGGTCCTGGGCCCTTGTCCTGCCGCTGGGAAGAGTCACGTGCCGGGAGGCCGCGGCAGTAAGGTCTGCTGTGGGTCCTGACCCCTGCCTCTGGGCCTCCTGGTGTGGTTCCCTGCCTGTTCCTCGTCACCACGTCTGTCACAGTGAGGTAGGAGGGCTAAGTGTTCAGGCCGATAAGGGACACCTCCTTGGGGTCCAGGCAGTCAGGCTGGGGAGAAGGGGAGTGACTCGGAATCGGGCATTTAGGAAAGAGTTCCTAAAACCCCAAAGTGGAATGCGTTTCCCCGCGGCAACACCATCCCTGATGCTTCCAGCCTCGGCTCGTAGGCGCTGAGGCCACATGTGCAGTACGGGTTCTGTAGCACCGTCTGGGGTGTCTGTCTGTCAGGTAGGATTTGGGCCAGGTGACAGAGCTCATCAGAACTGTGACCGGGTCCCTGAGGCTGACGTGGAAACCTTTCCGGACTAGTGAAACTAATAACTTTGGACTAATCTATTAACCTTGGTCCTTATGTTTGTCCGTCTTAGTAGTGGACATTATGCCTGGAAATCCTCCAGGACCTATTGATGCGAGGCTTCTACCTTAAGTGAGAAGTCTGCCCCCTCTTGTTGTTCCTGGTGCTCTGACAGCATCTAAGCGCTCACCGGGAGGTCCCCACGTGCCAGATGGCAAAGGCCGCTAACAGGAATGGCAGAAAATCTCCTCTGTCCTTCTCCCCATCTTCTAGAACTTTTCTGGTCCAGACTACCCCAGTGTCTGACCTCCCACCCTCCTCCTCAGTGTCCAGAGGCGGCACCTGAGTGCCTTACATCCTTTCATTTGATCTACTCCTCGTGACCTCAAAAACCCTCCCAGGTCTAGGGAGGCTCTGCGGCTGCCCGGGCCTGCCTGGCTCCGAGGCCTGCGCTCTCATGGACCTGTGCTCCGGTGTCTGGGAGTGTCTGGACAGAGGCAGGGTGCGGTGGGCTAGGGACGGCCGTTTGGAATCATGGCTGATGGTCCCCTCACGGGACAATAAAGTGGACCTGGTGTCAGCGGCCTCTCACGAATTCTGAGCCCATTGCTAACGTCTGTCAAGGGGTCTTCACCAAAGTGGAGGTTCTGCTCTGGCCTGAGCCCGGAGGGAGGGCTGCGAGATTGGTCGGCGGGGGGGGGGGGGGGGGGGGGGGGGGGGGGCGCGGACTAGGAGGGAGGAAGGTCCGAGGCAGCGCCCTGCCCTGTTGTCACCAGACCCTTAGCTGTGGCCCAGGACCTGTGCGCGACGGCTGGCGTGCCTGAGTGCCCTGGGCTTTTCTCTGTCCCCGTAGAGCGGGCTCCCTGCCTGAGCCGTCCTTCCCTCTGTACCTCGATGTGCTGGCCCCCTACGTGAACCAGGTGAATCTTATCCGAGCCGGGGTCCCTAAGATTGTGAGTAGCTTTTGTTTCGCCCCTTCCCTACTCAGAGCCGTGTGCGGGGAGCAGCCTGGTTGTCGGGGATCCCTCAGAGTGGGGTGCTCCTGCCCTGCTAGGCTCGTTCTCCTGTGTCTCCTGCCCAAACCCGACGTGGACGCGCTCGTTCCTTCCTTCCCCCTCCCAGCCCGGACAGAGCCCTTCCCAGCCTCTCTCAGGATCTTCAAACCAGGTAGTTTGCCAGTAGGAATGGCAGAAAACCTCCTCCGTTCTTCTCCCCGTCTTCTAGAACTTTTCTGGTCCCGACTACCCCAGTATCCGGCCTCCCATCCTCCTCCTCAGCGTCCGGAGGTGGCCTGGGGTCAGCGAGCAGCAAGTCTATCGTGAGTTTCAGAATCTCTGCAAGTTTGACGTCCGGCGACTCTCACGGAGCCAGTTTCTGCTCTTGACCAATAAGTTCAAGGAGTAGGTGCCTCGGTTCTCGCCCGCCCTCCCAGCCCGCAGCTGCCCGGTCCCAGAGGAGCAGGTCTGACACTTGCACGCCTGATCAACCCGTCTTTTGGCAGCGCGCGGAGCATCCTGAGGGAGTACCGGGCCCACCCCACGCTGCAGGTCTCCCTGTACCGCTACTGGAGGCACTCCCCGAACATCAACTGCTTGTTACAGTAAGTGGCCTGGTCTCTGGGCTGGCCTGCGGCCCCCGCTGGCCCTGAGCGGAGCAGGTTCACGGGCTAGCTGGTGTGGTTGTTCAGGAAGCCCGGACAGGGCTTTATTAAATGTCCGCTATGTTGGGCACTGGCGTGGGTTCTAGGCCTTCATCTGCGAGTAAGACAAACCCTTGCCGTCCTGGAAGTCCCACTCCGGGGGGCGGGGGGTAACAAGCAAGTGAACTGCACGATAGATCAGGTGACAGGTGTCTGTTAAAAACCAGAGCAGCTCAGGAGGTGGGAGTGGGGGCCAGAGAGGGGCAGATGGGTAAAGGAGAAGGTGGGACCCCATGAAAGACTCCAAGGAGGTGAGGGAACGAGTCAGGCGGAGCACGGGGAATACCTGTCCAGGCAGCGGGCAGAGGCCCTCAGGAGGGGCCCTGAGAAGAGAATGGACGGTCCGTGGGCCCAATCTGGGGGAGGGCTGCGGGCGGCCTGGGGTTTATCGCAGGGGTGGGACGCAGACTGCAGGGGACACGGAGGGCCGGGGAGGAAGTGGGGGAGCCAGGCGGGCACACTGTCGGCTTGGGGCTCGGACTGTATGGTGACCGGGGTGGGGGTGGTGGTGCTGAAGGCGGATCCTGGGCAGACTGGAGCAGGGTCGAGTTTGAATCTGGGTTTTCGGCCTGTGTAACTGAGGGATGAGGCTTCTTTGCGAGGGTCTCGGCTTGCTGGTTGGGAGCCGTGCGTATAGAAAACGGCGTGCTTGAAGCTTGGCTCCCTGGCCGTCTTCCTTCTGCCCGCCAACCTCTGACGTAAACCACCAGCATGGCTGGTCTGTGTGGGTCTCGGAGCCCTTCTAGGCTGACGGCAGAAGCTCCCGCTGGGGAAGTGACGGGAAGATGGGGAGTCTGGTCAGCAGGCAGGGGTCTGCGTGCTGGGCCTCCATGCCCGCCAGTGCGTACGTGGCCGGCCCCGCTGACTGGTGCTCGCTCTGTCTTGCAGAGTGTGCGGCGTGGTGGCCACCTGGGCGCTCCTGGCTCTTGTCCTCGGACGACCTGACCCCTGAGCGTGGCCTGCCGCCTCTGTCCCGCCTCTGCGCCACCCGTCGACCGTGGTCCGTGTGGGGCTCCTGGGGCCTCTGTGGAAAGAGTATCTTTCTGGGCAGACTGATCTATGGGGTCCTTGTGGGGAACTTTGTTTTGAATGTGAAATTCTGTAACTATTCTCGATAATAAAAAAAAATCCTTAGATGTGGAACTTTTTGTGACCTGAACTTTTCATAAATGGGGAGATGTGCCCACCTCTGGGAGCTTAATGAATGTTCTGGAGGGTCTCATGCAGTGACAACCAGCACTGAACGCTGGGTGAACAAAGGGCCATGTTATTTCTGGGAGAGGAATTCTTGGCCAATAGGCTGGTTGGGGTTTAAATCTGGGAAATGGTGTAAGTGTCCATGTGCATTTGTGATGTTTTGATAACATCTTATGGCTTATAAAATGTTGAACATTCACTTCAGAAATAAGACTTACCCGCGGTGGGGGGGGCACCTGGGTGGCCCAGTCAGTTAAGTGTCCAACTCTTGGTTTTGGCTCAGGCCATGATCTCACAGTTCATGGGTTCGAGCCCCGTGTTGGGCTCTGTGCTGACAGTGTGGAGCCTGCTTGGGATTCCCTCCCTCCCAGTCTCTCTGGCCCTCTCTGGCTTGCTCACTTGCTCTCAAAAAAATAAAAAACCAGAAAACCTATCCAGAAACAAAACCTATGCATATCACAGCTGTGTACCCCGAGGGGCCAGGAAGACTCAGGTTATTTTGTTTGCTCTGCAGAGCTCCATACCCACCACACCCACACGGCAGTCAGCTTTACGAGTAGCTATTCTCTCAGAACTTGGCTGGGCTGTTGGTTCAACCTTGAACTTCACTTATGATTCAGCAAAGCCTTTCTAAATGGGGGTGGGAGGGTGCAGTTTTTTTCTCATTATAACAGGTGTGTTAGTGGTGGCAGCCACCCCATGGTGAGTTTGGGAGCTCCCTGTCCTGAGGGATGTGAGTGACCAATGAGGTGCTATCCCTTGGTCGGGGCAGCTCATGGTCAGGCCAGTGAAACTGAGCTCTCCGGCAGCCTGAGGGAAGTTTTACCCCTTCTTCCACGTCCACGAGGCCTCCTAGTGGGACCCCCTCTCCTCCCCCCATCGGATGTCACTTTGCATACGCTGAGGAGAGCTCCCCTTTCTATCATGGGCTTCTGTGGCCCAGTCTAATTAGATGGGGTCCACATTCAGTGCTCCAGCATGAGACTGAGAACAAGCTTAGGTCAGTGTATGGAGTGACCGTTTTGACTTTTGGGGGTTGGAGCAGGGTCTGGGCGCTGGGAGCTGTTCTCTGGGGTGGGGGAGGGGGGCACCCTGTCGTGACTTTACCTCCTACCTGCTCGCAAGTCTCACCGCGCCCCTGCTGCATGCGCCTTCTGTGGGACGTCTGCCGGCGGTGGCGCTCTGCCATGGGACCGTGGGGACGCTGTCGGTGGCGGGGCGGAGGCGGCGAGCTGCTCAGAGTCCCCGACTGCTCAGGTTCTAGCTCCCGGTTCTGGAGTTCTTTCCTCCCTCCCTCTCTTCCTTATTCTGAGAGAAAGAGAGCCAGTAGGGGAGGGGCAGAGAGCGGGGGAGAGAGTCCCAGGCAGGCTCTGAGCTGTCAGCACGGAGCCCGATGTGGGGCTTGAACTCTCAAACCACGTGATCATGACCTGAGCCGAAGTCGGATGCTTCACTGCCTGAGCCGCCCATGCGCCCCACTTGGGGGTTCCTGGGATGCCAGCGGGTGGGCTTTTTGCTGCTGTCTCCTGCTTCCTCCAGCTCTTCGTGCCAAGTTTTCATGTAGTTCTGTCTCCCATCCTGAAATGAAAACTCCAAAGCAAAGTGTAAACCAGCTGCTCTGCCCTCCCCCCTGCCTCTCCCTGGGGCTCTGGACCCTCCTTTCCCTTCAGCAGGGCCTGGGTTGGGGCCAAGCTGGCCGCCTGCCTCCCGCTCATCTGCTCTGCAGAACGTATCCCTCTCCGCCGCCTCCCCTGCGAGGCTTTCGTGGGTCCCGCATATGTATCCCTGAGCCCCTGGCCTTCGTGCTTGCTCCCGTCCCGTCCCGTAGGCCACTTGGGGCACCCCCCTCCCCTCTGCCTGGCTCCTCCCCTTCGCCCCTGAGACTCCCTTCAGCCGGCACCCCCTCTAGGTTCCGGATCTCTGCTGACCGGCTGGCGCCACCGGGGCTCGGGCTTATCCTGCCTGTTGGAACACCGAGCGCCGTGTGCCGGGGCTCCTGGCCTGTCCCCTCACGGGTGGCCGCTCCAGCCTGCAGAACGTGTGCGGCTCTGTGGTGCTCCCTGTGCCTGGAGCCTCTGTGCTACCTGAGGTGGAGTCTGAATTCTTTGGTGCTGTACCCGGAGGCACCTTAAAAACGTGGAGTCTGTGGGCACCTGGGGGCTTGGTCGGTTAAGTGTCTGACTCCTGACTTTGGCTCAGGTCACCATCTGGTTCATGGGTTCAAGCCCCGAGTCAGGTTCTGTGCTGACAATGCAGAGCCTGCTTGGGATTCTCACTCCCCCCTCCCCCTCTGCCTGTCCCTGCTCAGTCTCTCCTCTCTCAAAATAAATAAACTTTAAAAAAAAAAAATAGGGAGTCTTGTTATTCTGCATAACTGACGTGGTTCTGCCTCTGCAAAGAGGAAAACAACACGTGGGAGCCTCACATTGCCCTGGCCGAGGGCCGTCCTGATGACCCTCAGGGTCCTGATCATGTAGATGTGGCTTGACTCCAGTCCTGGCTCTTAGAATGTTTGAATCTTGTTTGTAGTTTAAACACTGAGATTTAAAAAAAAAAAAAAATTTTTTTTATAGTTTATTTCTGAGACAGAGAGAGAACATGATCAGGGGAGAGGCAGAGAGAGAGGGAGACACAGAATCCAAAGCAAGTTCCAGGCTCTGAGCTGTCAGCACAGAGCCTGATGTGGGGCTTGAACCCACAAACCGTGAGATCATAACCTGAGCCAAAGTCGGATGCTTAACTGAGCTGCCCAGGTGCCCCTGGAACACTTTTTGACTAAGGAAAAAGCAAAGCCTGTAACTTTCTAACCATGAAGCATCTGGTGTCATTTTTCTGTAAACTTGTCTGAAAATCCAGTGCAATCTAATTAAAACACTAAGTCCCTTTTGCCACACAAGGCGCCATCTTCACGGGCTCTGGGGTGAGGACATGGGCGTCCCTGGGGCTGTCACCCTGGCCACCACCTTCTCCGGCAGGACAGTCACTAAGGACCCACAGTCCTACTAGGTGAGTGTTAGTGTCCCCACCTGGTGACGATCAAGCAGGCTTTGGTGGACACAGAGCTTGCGGGTGGTGAGCACAGCCTCTGCTGGTGGCCTTGTGCTGTCACTGGGTCTCTTGAACACCACGGTGCCTACGCAGTGTCAGCTGGGGGCCCCGCCCTTGCAGCTGGCGCACACAGGTCTGCATGCGCCCCAACTCCACTGCCTGAGCTCTTACTACCATTTGCCTTCGCCCCTTTACATAGAGAGAAGGATGGGGTCCTGACATTTGGGACAGAGAACACAGGGGGACTTGGGCTCAGCCTGCTTTAGGTTAATTTTTTAAAAAAGTTTTTATGAAGTAATCTGTACCCCTAGTGTGGGGTGGGGCTTGAACTCATGACCCTGAGATCGAGTTGCATGCTCTTCCAGCTGAGCCAGTCGGGCGCCCTAGCCTGTCGTTTACACTCCACCCTGTTCCAGTCTGCTCGCAATGCAGGGTCACAGCGCCCATGCTGCTGCCACCTGGACCCCCTGGCCTGCTCTGTCCTTGCTTCCCCAGGATGGTGGCCCGGCCCCCTAGACGTAGGCCCCAGTGCCTGAGCTCTGACTGCCAGGAGCACGGCCCCAGCTGGGCGTGAGAGTGGCACCAGGAGAAGCAGCATCCTCAGCTCAGCGGGAGCCCCCGGGAGCTGGCTCCCAAGTGAGCTCTGGCTGTTCTATCAAGTGCGTGGACGTTTTTGCCCATGAACTTGTAACGAGGAGTCCCAGGGAGCTGCCCTGCCTGCTGCCCCATCCTCAGCCGTGTGGAGAAGCACTGACGGTTGCTGCCTGTGTGATCCTGGAGAGCCTCACACTCGTGTGCGAAACGTGCTGCCCTGAACTCTATGAAAGCCGGAGTTTATACATTTTTATTTTTTAGTTTTTTAGCTTTTTTTTTTAAAAAAAAAGTTTATTCACTTGAGAGACCGCATGAGCGGAGAAGGGACAGGGAGACATAGGCTCCAGGCTCTGAGCTGTCAGCACAGAGCCCGACGCAGGGCTCGAACCCACGAACCGAGCCAAAGTCGGACGCTTAATTGACTGAGCCACCCAGGCACCCCTATGTGTTTTTAAAAATAAACATGTTGCAGAGAACAGAAGAAAAAGTCACTCATTCTCTCTCTACCTTAACATCATTTTGGACTTGCTTTTTAAAACGCGTGCACACTGTACGAATCTTAGAGTGCGTATTCTTCCATCCACAAGGACTCGCTAAGCACAGAGCACCACTGTCCCAGTCCTGGCTGGGGCCTGCGGCCACGAAAGCACAGAAAGGTGGGCACAAGCTGAAAGGGCGCGGCAGGTAACTCAGGCTGCCTGGCTGCCCAGGTGGGTGCGGCGGGAGCAGAGGGCTGGGAAGTAGGGAAGGGAGCATCTGCTCAGGCCCTGGTGATGCTTTTATCAGGGGACTGAAACCAGGGGATGGGGAGGTCGGGGGGTGGGGGATGGGGAAAGTCTTGAAAGGCTCAGGTGTTATTTCTTTATTTTTTAAGTTTTGATATTAAGTTTATTTTGAGAGAGAGAGAGCACGAGTGAGCGCACACAAGCAGGTGAGGGGCAGAGAGAAGGAGAGGCAGAAGCCTAAGCTGGCTCCACACCATCAGCACAGAGCCTGATGCAGGGGCTCCAGCCCGAGAACTGTGAGATCACAACCTGAGCCGAAGTCAAGAGTTGGACACTTAACGGACGGAGCCACCCAGGCACCCTAGGTTTGTACTTTAACTCCAGCTTAAGTTTTATTTATTTTTATTTTTTAATTTTTTTAATGTTTTTAATGTTCCAGTCTGCTCGCAATGCAGGGTCACAGCGCCCATGCTGCTGCCACCTGGACCCCCTGGCCTGCTCTGTCCAGGGGGACAGAGAGAGAGAGAGAGAGAGAGAGAGAGAGCACAATCATGGGGGAGGGGCAGAGAGGGAGACACA